GACGGTGTTTTGGGGCGACGGTGTTGGTGTGACAGTATTGGAGAGACAGTATTGGTGTGATAGCGTTGGTATGACAGTGTTGATGTGACAGTATTGGAGATACAGTGTTGGTGTGATAGTGTTGGTATGACAGTGTTGGTGCGACGGTGTTGGTGGTGACGGTGTTTGTGTGACAGTGTTGGTGTGACAGTTTTTTTGTGACGGTGTTGGAGACAGTGCTGGGGTGACGGTGTTGGTGTGACAGTGTTGGAGAGAGTGTTGGTGTGATAGTATTGGTGTGACAATGTTGGAGAGTGTTGGTGTGACAGTGTTGGAGAGACAGTGTTGGTGTGACAGTTTTTTTGTGACGGTGTTGGAGACAGTGCTGGGGTGACGGTGTTGGTGTGACAGTGTTGGAGAGAGTGTTGGTGTGACAGTATTGGTGTGACAGTGTTGGAGAGTGTTGGTGTGACAGTGTTGGAGAGACAGTGTTGGTGTGACGGTGTTGGTGAGACGGTGTTGGTGTATTTGAGTGGAATAGTGTATTAACTGTCCTCATCTTTATTCTTATCATTATTTATATAATTTATTAAGGAAGGTTGACGAGAGGTGATGGTAGTCACCAGTGACTTCACGTTACCTCTACTTCCTGACCTTACTTATTCTCCTTTGTTCCCATTTCCACGACCCCACTATATGACACAGTGTTGGAGAGTGATAGAGAGACAGTGTTGGAGTGCTGGAGAGAGTGATGGTGAGACAGTGTCGGAGAGGGAATGTTGGAGAGACAGTGTTGGAGAGGCAGTGTTGTAGAGATAGTGTTTTAGAGACAGTGTTGGACAGACAGTGTTAGAGAGAGAATTTTGGAGCGGTAGTGTTGGAGAGACAGTGTTGTAGAGAGAGTGCTGGAGATATCACTCACCATAAACATTATCTTCAACATCGTAGTCCAGCTTGTATACAAGGTTGCCACCTGGCCACAGCTGTTGGTTGTCACCCCGCACCATCATTGGCATCTGCTGTAACACACCATCATTGTAACTGTTGTAACACCTGTTCATTTTTGTAACACCTGTTCATTGTTGTAACACTTGTTCATTGTTGTAACACCTATTCATTTTTGTAACACCTGTTCATTTTTGTAACACCTGTTCATTGTTGTAACATCTGTTCATTTTTGTAACACCTGTTCATTTTTGTAACACCTGTTCATTGTTGTAACATCTGTTCATTTTTGTAACACCTGTTCATTGTTGTAACACCTGTTCATTGTTGTAACGCCTGTTCAATCGTAACACCCTGTTGTAACTGTTGTAATACCTGTTCATTGTTGTAACACCTGTTCAATAACTGTAACCGTTGTAACACCTGTTCAGTCATTGCAACACCTGTTCAGTCACTGTAGCTGTTGTAACATCTGTTCATTGTAACTTGTAACACATGTTCAGTCATTGTAAGTGTTGCAACACCTGTTCAGTCTTTGTAACTGTTGCAACACCTGTTCAGTCTTTGCAACTGTTGCAACACCTGTTCAGTCACTGTAACTGTTGTAACACCTGTTTATTGTTACTGTTGTAACGCCTATCCAGTCATTGTTACTGTTGACTCTTCTTGTTAATCATTGTTACACTTGAAATTCTCTTTACTGATTACCTTTCAAATTACCACTTTAATTATTTTCTCTTGTTTAATTCTCTGTTGTAGAAGCTGAACGTAGACTTTGTTACAAGTACTTCTGGCAGCTTGACAAGTACTTGTAGCAGCTTGACAAGTACTTCTAGCAGCTTGACAAGTACTTCTGGCAGCTTGACAAGTACTTGTAGCAGCTTGACAAGTACTTCTAGCAGCTTGACAAGTACTTCTAGCAGCTTGACAAGTACTTCTAGCAGCTTGACAAGTACTTGTAGCAGCTTGACAAGTACTTCTAGCAGCTTGACAAGTACTTCTAGCAGCTTGACAAGTACTTGTAGCAGCTTGACAAGTACTTCTAGCAGCTTGACAAGTACTTCTAGCAGCTTGACAAGTGCTTCTAGCAGCTTGACAAGTACTTGTAGCAGCTTGACAAGTACTTGTAGCAGCTTGACAAGTACTTCTAGCAGCTTGACAAGTACTTCTAGCAGCTTGACAAGTACTTGTAGCAGCTTGACAAGTACTTCTAGCAGCTTGACAAGTACTTCTAGCAGCTTGACAAGTACTTCTAGCAGCTTGACAAGTACTTCTAGCAGCTTGACAAGTACTTCTAGCAGCTTGACAAGTACTTCTAGCAGCTTGACAAGTACTTGTAGCAGCTTGACAAGGACTTCTAGCAGCTTGACAAGTACTTCTAGCAGCTTGACAAGTACTTCTAGCAGCTTGACAAGTACTTCTAGCAGCTTGACAAGTACTTGTAGCAGCTTGACAAGTACTTCTAGCAGCTTGACAAGTACTTCTAGCAGCTTGACAAGTACTTGTAGCAGCTTGACAAGTACTTCTAGCAGCTTGACAAGTACTTGTAGCAGCTTGACAAGTACTTCTAGCAGCTTGACAAGTACTTCTAGCAGCTTGACAAGTACTTGTAGCAGCTTGACAAGTACTTCTAGCAGCTTGACAAGTACTTCTAGCAGCTTGACAAGTACTTCTAGCAGCTTGACAAGTACTTGTAGCAGCTTGACAAGTACTTGTAGCAGCTTGACAAGTACTTGTAGCAGCTTGACAAGTACTTCTAGCAGCTTGACAAGTACTTCTAGCAGCTTGACAAGTACTTGTAGCAGCTTGACAAGTACTTCTAGCAGCTTGACAAGTACTTCTAGCAGCTTGACAAGTGCTTCTAGCAGCTTGACAAGTACTTGTAGCAGCTTGACAAGTACTTGTAGCAGCTTGACAAGTACTTCTAGCAGCTTGACAAGTACTTCTAGCAGCTTGACAAGTACTTGTAGCAGCTTGACAAGTACTTCTAGCAGCTTGACAAGTACTTCTAGCAGCTTGACAAGTACTTCTAGCAGCTTGACAAGTACTTCTAGCAGCTTGACAAGTACTTCTAGCAGCTTGACAAGTACTTCTAGCAGCTTGACAAGTACTTGTAGCAGCTTGACAAGGACTTCTAGCAGCTTGACAAGTACTTCTAGCAGCTTGACAAGTACTTCTAGCAGCTTGACAAGTACTTGTAGCAGCTTGACAAGTACTTCTAGCAGCTTGACAAGTACTTCTAGCAGCTTGACAAGTACTTCTAGCAGCTTGACAAGTACTTGTAGCAGCTTGACAAGTACTTCTAGCAGCTTGACAAGTACTTGTAGCAGCTTGACAAGTACTTCTAGCAGCTTGACATGTACTTCTAGCAGCTTGACAAGTACTTGTAGCAGCTTGACAAGTACTTCTAGCAGCTTGACAAGTACTTCTAGCAGCTTGACAAGTACTTCTAGCAGCTTGACAAGTACTTGTAGCAGCCTTGACAAGTACTTGTAGCAGCTTGACAAGTACTTGTAGCAGCTTGACAAGTACTTCTAGCAGCTTGACAAGTGCTTCTAGCAGCTTGACAAGTACTTCTAGCAGCTTGACAAGTGCTTCTAGCAGCTTAACAAGTACTTCTAGCAGCTTGACAAGTACTTTTTAGCAGCTTGACAAGTACTTCTAGCAGCTTTGACAAGTACTTCTAGCAGCTTGACAAGTACTTCTAGCAGCTTGACAAGTGCTTCTAGCAGCTTGACAAGTACTTCTAGCAGCTTGACAAGTGATTCTAGCAGCTTGACAAGTACTTCTAGCAGCTTGACAAGTACTTCTAGCAGCTTGACAAGTACTTCTAGCAGCTTGACAAGTACTTCTAGCAGCTTGACAAGTACTTCTAGCAGCTTGACAAGTACTTGTAGCAGCTTGACAAGTACTTCTAGCAGCTTGACAAGTACTTGTAGCAGCTTGACAAGTACTTGTAGCAGCTTGACAAGTACTTCTAGCAGCTTGACAAGTACTTGTAGCAGCTTGACAAGTACTTCTAGCAGCTTGACAAGTACTTGTAGCAGCTTGACAAGTACTTGTAGCAGCTTGACAAGTACTTCTAGCAGCTTGACAAGTACTTCTAGCAGCTTGACAAGTGCTTCTAGCAGCTTGACAAGTACTTCTAGCAGCTTGACAAGTGCTTCTAGCAGCTTGGACAAGTACTTCTAGCAGCTTGACAAGTACTTGTAGCAGCTTGACAAGTACTTCTAGCAGCTTGACAAGTGCTTCTAGCAGCTTGACAAGTACTTCTAGCAGCTTGACAAGTGCTTCTAGCAGCTTGACAAGTACTTCTAGCAGCTTGACAAGTGCTTCTAGCAGCTTGACAAGTACTTCCAGCAGCTTGACAAGTACTTGTAGCAGCTTGACAAGTACTTCTAGCAGCTTGACAAGTGCTTCTAGCAGCTTGACAAGTACTTCTAGCAGCTTGGACAAGTGCTTCTAGCAGCTTGACAAGTACTTCTAGCAGCTTGACAAGTACTTCTAGCAGCTTGACAAGTACTTCTAGCAGCTTGACAAGTACTTCTAGCAGCTTGACAAACACAGGTGATGATCAGACCTGTGCTCATTTCCTAGAACACTGTGTTCTAAGGATCTTTGTGACAGACTTTTTTTGGAAGGCTCATTAGACTTTTGTCATTCACTTACAGGGTTAAAGTATTACTGTTAAAATGTAACATTCTCTGAAACTGGAGAACTGTGGACTGAATGTTTGATCGTCCCATCGTACAATTATGAAGTATCTTTGTCCAAATTTGACTGATGAAGTAATATCAAAAGTAAACACTTAAAACAGTTTCACCTGCTCACTGCATGACTTCTGGAAATACAATGACACAGTCCAGGAATACAATGATACAGTCCAGTTAGTATGGTGATGTATTACCTGAATTTTGAGCGAATCATCAGTTTTTTACAGTGGTCAAAAAAAAAATAGTACTAACTTGTCCTCCTTCGTCTTCCCTCTCCTCACCCTAAAAAAAAAATCGAGAAGGAAACTTTAAGAAAAAGTTACTGATGCGATATATATGAAATTGTATGTATTTTTCAAGAGTCTTTCACTGTACAGTTTACTTCTCCTTCTCCCTCCCCAAGTCAAGGCTAACACTAACCGGCTTCACATCATATTATAAACAGAGTCAATTTGCAATTTTAGACATCGTATTCGTTTTTTAAAAATTATTAAAAAATGACTAGTTTCATTTTTGTGAAGCATTTTGATAGACGACCAGTGAAATCACTTGGTTCATTCTGCTCAAGATACTGTGTTGAAGAAGCAGACAATATTTAGATTAGTAATACCTTATTTTTAGGGTTGTCTTCTCCAAGAAGTGACCCAACATTGTTGACCAGCAGGTATATGTTTATTACAGAGAGACTTGTCCATGCGTCCCGTCTCACCCAGGACTCAATGGTTAAAAAAATGCTGCTATGATTGAAAGTATAATGACACATAAGATCGTAATAACACGATTGTAAACAAATCATAGAACATAAAGGGGTTTGAGCCCATGACACATTTGTTTACAGTTAAGTTATAACAGATTTCGCGAGGCATTTGATCACGGCTTTGAAGGGACTTGAACTAGAGCTTCTCACAGCCATATAGGTGTGAGATTCAAGTGTTTTGAGGTCACAGTGGAACCCATCCTAGCCTTTGTAATGTGTAAATAGAAATTAACCTGCTTAGATGAATCTTATTAGGCCAACAAGGTTTACCACACTGACCAACTAGTTTGATGACTGCGTCGCCAAGGCTTGAACTTCCTCTTTTCTGAATGAATGTTGTTTAATACTTTAGTTTAATACTTCATGTTCTATATAAACTTATGAGAGAAGGTAACTAGTGCGAGGATTGATTGGAAAATAATTTATAATGAAACTAGATATGTTTCGGTCGCTGCTCGATCCCCTCTACGGTAATAATAATAATAATAATAATAATAATAATAATAATAATAATAATAATAATAATAATAATAATAATAATAATAATAATAATATCTTTAATTACTACAAGTACATGTACAAGGTATACAGTCCTAGCTGACATCAAAATAGAGCGACAAACCAGCGTCAAAGACCTGGGAGTGATCATGTCGGAGGATCTCACCTTCAAGGACCATAACACTGTATCAATCGCATCTGCTAGAAAAATGACAGGATGGATAATGAGAACCTTCAAAACTAGGGAGGCCAAGCCCATGATGACACTCTTCAGGTCACTTGTTCTATCTAGGCTGGAATATTGCTGCACACTAACAGCACCTTTCAAGGCAGGTGAAATTGATGACCTAGAAAATGTACAGAGAACCTTCACGGCGCGCATAACGGAGATAAAACACCTCAATTACTGGGAGCGCTTGAGGTTCCTGAACCTGTATTCCCTGGAACGCAGGCGGGAGAGATACATGATTATATACACCTGGAAAATCCTAGAGGGACTAGTACCGAACTTGCACACGAAAATCACTCACAACGAAAGCAAAAGACTCGGCAGACGATGCAACATCCCCCCCAATGAAAAGCAGGGGTGTCACTAGCACGTTAAGAGACAAAGCAATAAGTGTCAGGGGCCCAAGACTGTTCAACTGCCTCCCAGCATGCGTAAGGGGGATTACCAATAGACCCCTGACTGTCTTCAAGCAGGCACTGGACAAGCACCTAAAGTCGGTACCTGACCAGCCGGGCTGTGGCTCGTACGTTGGATTGCGTGTAGCCAGCAGTAACAGCCTGGTTGATCAGGCTCTGATCCACCAGGAGGCCTGGTCACAGACCGGGCCGCGGGGGCGTTGATCCCAGGAACTTTGTGCAGGTAAACTCCAGGTAATGACATACTACTATATAGAAAGCCGCTTGTTATGCAGAGCATTACGGGCAAATTAGGTTAATTTTGTCCCAGGATGCGACCCACACCAGTCTACTAACACCCAGGTACCCATTTTACTGATAGGTGAACATAGACAACCGGTGTAAGGAAATACGTTCAGCGTTTCCACCCCTTCGCCGGGAATTGAACCTGGACCCTCACCGTGTGAAACGAGAGCTTTTGCCACCAGGCCACGGGGCACCGTGATAGTTGTACCTTAAAATTCCGAAAAGGCGGATGAGCTGCAGCTCAAGTCCTTCAAGACACCCAGGAGATATAATTCAACCATTACAAGAGAACATTACTGGAGAACATCCTTAGGCCCAGGAGCTTTAGCATAACAACCATAGCATACCTTCAAAAAAGCGCCAGGAGCTGCATCAACACCTGGTTGATGGAACTCGTCCAGTAACACTGTAAATACAGAACAATCACTCTCCGACACCAGGCTGGTTCTGTTGTTAGAGATTTTGTAACTGTGTCAGAGACGGTCAGAAAGTAGTGGATGTTAGGATCTAGTGTCGCTGCTGTGTCACAGTAACGAACAAATTAATATTTACGAAACTCACGCCAATTATTCGTCTACGAATGGTGGCATAATAATATACAAAGAAAAAGTAATATAGCTACGAAGTGACATTTATTAAGCATAACATTGTACAAAATCAGCATTAAATGTTAACATTAAGTTTAATAATGTAATATATTAAAAAATATAATAATGTAATATAATAGTATAACTAATAATATTAAAAAACTTCTAAATGGCTATAGGGAGTGTTATTAAACAAACTTCACCTAAATTAAAGTTTATATTTTGCACTCTGTTTACAATTTTGGCTCGAGGCCCAAGTTCACCAGAACGGTAAGTATCATAACACAAATTTGTTAATAAAAGTTACAAATTATCACCTATAGAACCCGATAAAAAATTCTAACTTTTTTTTTTTTAAGGAACGATACACCAGCACGGAAGGTTTGAAACCGATACAAAGAGTTATTCCCAAAATTGCAAGGTTTTTGTGCACGCTACAAGAACCATTAATAATACTCACACTTTTATCCGGCAATATATCTCCTTCCGAATATGCTGTAAAGGAAAGAAGGAATTTAATAATTTTCGAAGATTTGGCCCAGAGGAGATGCCACTCCATTTATTTACTAAAATTTGATACACCTGTATTGGGTAGCTATTCTGAGATATACAACATTTTGCAAGGCTATACAATCAAGTATGTTAATCTAACACATCCATTACGTGAAGGGATGTGCGCTGTCAGCCTGTGCTGGGAGCTTACAGTCACAGTCTTCTTGGTAGAGCAGATGGTTATGCATATATATATATATATATATATATATATATATATATATATATATATATATATATATATATATATATATATATATATATATATATATATATATATATGTATATATATATAGGTTAGGTAAGGTTCGTCAGGAAACAGGACAAATGTTTCCTGACGCGGGTCTTAGTCAGATGATGACCCGCCTTTGGAGCTTTTGGTCATCTGACCGAGGCCTTCCGCTGGCTTACCGGTCCACCCCTTTAAAATTATGGTCATTTATAACCATTGTTTATATATATATATATATATATATATATATATATATATATATATATATATATATATATATATATATATATATATATATATATATATATATATATACATACATACATATGAATTCGAAAAATAAAAATTACGTTTCCGTATTAATTTATGCTTAAATGTTTAGTCACTACACTTAAAGACAGAAGCAACTGGTAAAAAAAAATTTATTTCAGAAAATCTATTTTATGGAATATGTGTATCAGTATAAAATTATCTGCATCATAAACACACCAGGTGTTTATAAGATATAACTAAAATTTGCATACAAAAATATTTAAAAATAGGCATATTGTATATTTTGCCCTTGTGGTTGACGTTAGTTAAGGTAACTAGGAAAGTTGTATTGACTGAAAGAATACATTGTGAATTTATTGGTTATGTTAGGTTAGGTTAGGTTAGGGTAGGGTAGGGTAGGGTAGGGTAGGGTAGGTTAGGTTAGGTTAGGTTAGGTTATGTTATGTTATGTTATGTTATGTTATGTTAGATTAGGGTAGGTTAGGTTAGGTTAGGTTAGGTTAAGTTAGGTTATGGTTAGGGTAAGGTAGGTTAGGTTAGGTTCGGTTAGGTTAGGTTAGGGTATGGTAGATTAGGTTAGGTTGGGTTAGGTTAGGTTAAGTTAGGTTAGGTTAGGTTAGGTTAGGTTAGGCTAGGTTAGGTTAGGGTATGGTAGATTAGGTTAGGTTACGTTAGGTTAGGTTAGGTTAGGCTAGGTTAGGTTAGGTTAGGTTAGGTTAGGTTAGGGTAGGTTAGGTTAGGTTAGGTTAGGAGGTTAGGTTAGGTTAGGTTAGGTTAGGTTAGGTTCGGTTAGGTTAGGTTAGGGTATGGTAGATTAGGTTAGGTTAGGTTAGGTTAGGCTAGGTTAGGTTAGGTTAGGCTAGGTTAGGTAGGTTAGGTTAGGTTAGGTTAGGTTAGGCTAGGTTAGGTTAGGTTAGGTTAGGTTAGGTTAAGTTAGGTTAGGTTAAGTTAGGTTAGGTTAAGTTAGGTTAGGTTAAGTTAGGTTAGGTTAAGTTAGGTTAGGTTAGGTAAGATTCATCAGAAAACAGGACAAGTGTTTCCTGACGCGGGTCTTAAATTTAGTGGTGATGCTTCTGTACCTTAGTGTTCCATGAAGATACTTATTAAGATCCTCCCGAATTTTGGGTGAATCAGCGACAACTGGCTCCTCGCAACCCAGTAACATTAAGATCCTTCCAACATATGTAATACATCAATGAAAATGTAAAGTTGATCAGCCTACTCGTAATAGTTAACCAAAACTGAAAATTTCAAGCCTATATGTTAAGGCGTTCTCTAATCATAAACGAAAATCCTAGAAGTGAAGGAACAAAACACTGTATCAACAATGTCTCTCGCAATATGTTTTTAAGGGAACATCAAACTTTTGAAAAAAATGTTCTAAAGAGTTTTTTTTTTTTTTAATATCTTAATTTTCTCTTCTCAGTTCCGTTCTGCTTAAAATTCTGTACCATCTCCCAAGGAAAAAATCTGATTTTTGTCTTTTTTTAAGAAGTCAGTTCCATAAAAAAATATAAAATTGGGATATTGGCATATTCATCGACTAAATTCAACATAATATTTCCACTTCAGATATACCAGCGCTTAAGTTCATGAAACTGGAGAAACATTCTCTCATTAATATATGGAAACTAATTTAATAAAATTGGCAGTTTAAGACTGACTCACAAAACAAAACTAAGCTTTCTTTAATAAACGCTATTAACATTAAATCTTTGATGCCTATCAGAAAACGCATTCCCCAGTAATCGTTCTAAATCTAACGATTCTAAGTTTGATTTATCATTTTCATTCATACTTAAAATTTGCATCTAAACAATCTAAACTCACATTATGTCAAAGCCTCAGAAATAATGTATTAGCGGTAATATATTGAAGGTGATGTAATATTCATTAGTCCTGGATGAATATCAGTATCGCTATTTATTTAATAAAACTGGCAGATTTGGGATTTTTGAAGCCCACTAACAACGAGGACCTTGATTTCTAGAAAACACATCAGAGTTGAAAATCTGATGCTGATCAGAAGAGACATTCTCTGGTTATCGCATGGAATCGCACAGCCTAAAACAAATTATCCTGAAACCAATTAGCGTGGGAAGTTTGAAGCCATTAACAAGAGACATTCTCAAGTTCTCACATGTAAATCTTTGAGAATAAAATCTTTAACAGCCTCTAATAGGTATTCCCTTTCATGGAATACCTGGAAAAAATCTGACAACCAAAATGCTGAACGTTCTTTAGTATAAATTACTGACTTAAGTCTTACAGCCACAAACTCTAAGAAAATTTAACACTGAGGTGTAAAAGTTATGGAAAGGGGAGCGAATGACCACTGGCTGACTATGTCATAATTTTAGCAGTGTGGCGGGTTGTTGAAGCTCTCAGTACAATTCTTGTTGTCGTGGACGCGGCCCTCATGGAGAATACCTGGAGAGGGTTAACCGCGCGGCCCGGTCTGAGAGCAGGCCTCATGGTGGATCAGGGTCTGATCAACAAGGCTGTTACTGCTGGCCGCACGCAAACTGACGTACGAACCACATCCCGGTTGGTCAGGTACTGACTTAGGTGCCTGTCCAATGTCTTCTTGAAGACAGTCAGGAGTCTATTGTAATCCCCCTCATGTATGCTGGGATCAGTTGAACATCTTGGGCCCCCTGACACTTAACTGTTTTGTTCTCAGTGGTACTTCGTAACTCCCTGTTTTCATTGTGGGAATGTTTTGCATCTCGCTGCCGAGTCTTTTGCTTTCATTGGGGTGATATTTGGTGTTGATCAGGGGCTGATCCACCAGGAGGGGCCTTGTCAACAGACCGGGCCGCGGGGCGTGACCCCCGAAACTCTCTCCAGGTAAACTCCATGAGGTAATATTCATCTTTGATATGGATTCCTGAGGATATGTAGACAAAGATACAACTTGTAAGAAATTGGATATGCTAAAATGGCTTACAATCTTTGTCCAGAATTATCTTGCTCCATGTTTTGTAAAATAGGAATCAGAAATAGTACTGTACTAGCATAAGCCTAGCAAAATCTTGAAGTACCTACGGTCAGTGGCCAGGGCCTCGAACTTATAAAAATAAAGCGATAAAAGGACTGAATAGATTTCTTGGCAAATCAAAGTCATAATGGAAATCGACTAAAGAATGGTGGAAACACTGACCTGTTAAATCTCGGGAACCCACGTTCGAGCCTCCCGTCCACCTTCTGTTTATTCATCGACATGGTTTTCATTACGACTTAAACTGATAATCCCTACTTAATGACTGGAAGCTGCAGAAAGGAGGAAAGTGTTTTCTTGCATTAAAATATGATACATAACCTTGATCTAACGTTGTTTTGTTTTCTCCTGCCAATTTTTCGTTTTTTATCTCTTCCATAACACGAGAACACCTCGTCTGATCGAGCTTCAAATTTTCGACATTGGTATATGTTTAATTAGGATCAAATTCTTGGGACAATTGACATATGATATTCCTCCCTGACCCAAAGTTTGGAGAGTTCTTTCCCTAGCATCTGGATGGCCTCCAGTAACTTCCAAAATCCTCTGCTGTTTGGTTTTAATGTTAAAAAAAAATTGCCACCTGTGGAATTTTTTTACATAATTTCCTAAATGATAACTTATAAATGAATAATAAAATAATTTGCATATTAAAATGTGATGCTCTTTGGACTCTCCTTCGATAAATTTTCGGAGTGGTGGGGGGGAGCCAGAACACGGAGGGAGTGAACGCCGCAATGAAAAAGACGCCATATTGAATTTAATGTGTGAACACTGGACTGGAATTATGCAATGTAATCCGGGCGCTCTCGAAGTCAATTGTGTACATCGGCCTCAATCCTTAATTTAATAAATTTGCTGACATGGCCCCTACTGAAGAACTGGATAGCGTGGAAACCCTTACAATTCGGCAACCAGGACGGAAAATAGAGACAAACTCATTTCCCAGGAGCACACCTCAGCTAAGAAATGCTTACTCATAATGTTCAGTAGTTTTTTGCATTCGTCATGTAAATTCTAGCTGCTAGGGTAGGGTTAAGGTGTGTTCCATCAACATTAATTGTCTTCCAGTAACTAAATTAGTAAGTGTTAAATACAAATTTCTTTTGTGTACTCCAACAATCTAATCATATTACAGTCCCACTTTTTTTTATAATTTACCATTATTGTTAATAATGTTTAATACTGTAAAATTATTAATTTGATGTCAGTTTTAGCTTTTTTGTGAGAGTGGGTAGAGAATGGCATCGAGGAAGTTAGTTAGGTGACCTACTGTGACTTAAATCCACTTCCCTCAGTCAAATTACTTACAGATTATAATTTTCAGGTAATGCCCGTAAGCAATAAAAAAATAAAAATAATAATATAATAATAATAATAATAATAATAATAATAATAATAATAATAATAATAATAATAATAATAATAAATCACAACAACCAATTCAAACGACGAGGGAGAGTGAATTCAGGTGTGTCAGACAAATGCTCGAACTGTCCAATATTGTGGTGTGAAATAGTGTTTTTTTTTGTTTTTTTTTGGGTCTCTGTTTGACAAGGTTAAGGATCCCTAGCTTTATTTACAGCTATATTACAGGTTAACAGGTTAAGGATTCTATCTTATTGGCAAGCCTAAGAAGCAGTTACCAACATCACCATTGAAAGCATTTTAATATTGTTATGAGACATACAAGTAGGGAACAGGATGAAGTTGGAGCCATCTGTGGCCAGCATTTTCATTTGATCACTGACTTTAATCTCGTTGACACCATTATGCTGTACGAATGTGTTCCATACTCGAGTCAATCCTGGGTATGTATGATCTCAGATGGATGTGGAAGGAAAGTTCTGGAGAAGGGTACAGCCAAGTGAAGTGCTGCATTCTTCTGCCCGTCCCTTGTGGCATAAAACTTGTTTTCATCACTCACACGCTGTCCTACGATGTGGATCCAAGTGTGGTACTTTGACATAAATATTGGCCTTGTACATTAACAGTAAGGCTACCCACATCCCTCCTATGTTGAAGGCTCTGCTGAATAATGACAGATTCTATCCAGGATGGGTCCACGCGAGAGATGAGACTCTTGATCTGTCTCTACATCTGTCAAGCAGACGCAGATGAGAGTAGGTGCAGCAAAAAACCAAAATGGGAGGCATACTCAAGGTAATCAGCGTACTTTGTGCCATACAGAATCTTGCAACGCTCCTACTGTCAAGTAATGCGAGATACGGCGAAGTGCTGTAAAGCTTCCTGGCTGCCTTGTTTGCAAGATTTACAACATAGTTTCTTCATGTTATTTGGAGTCAAATTTCACCTCCAAGGATATCAACGTCTCTCCAGGTGCCACACCCTCCCATTCATCCTTATTACTGCACCAGCATAACCAACATGGTGCCTAGAGACGATCATCATTTGCGTTTTCTCAGGTGCAAATGTTACTTTCCATCTATTTCCCCCCAAGCTGAAGTAGCTCTCAGCTGGTGATTGACGTAGCTTAGAGCAGCTGGCATTTCTTCTCAGGATAAGTGAATGTCATGTGCAGTCGTCTGTATAATGCATGTGATTCTGGGAGAGATGAAGAAGGTCGTTGAAGTAACTTCATAACATGGTCCCAGCCCGCTTCCTTGTGGACACTTGCGCCAATAGATGTCTGCTGATTCCGTTTCCATGAGAACTACACTTAGAGATCTACATGAAGGTAATCCAAAGAGGAAGACATAGCGTAGACCTGCAATTCCCAGTGCCTTGAAGTTTGGCTAAGAGGCCCTGTGCCACACCCGGTCGAAAGGCGCCAGCAATGTCCCAGTGCTACCACCACAGCTGACTTTGGATTCATCCAGTACTGTGCCACTTAGTGGGAGAGGTTAACAACAGATCAGCAGCAGAGCAACCTTTCTGAAAGCCATATTGACGATCACAAAGTAGTGAGTGATAGTCAAAAAACTCTGTCATTTGTCTTGAGATTATTGTCTCAAGGATCTTACCAGTGATTGACAGGAGTGACACTGGTCTGTAGTTGCTGATTTTCTGCTCTGCTCTTCTTTTTGTGAACAGGGACTACATTTGCCTCTCCATAGAGAGGGCCATTTACACTGTACTAGGCAGTGCTGAAAGATGCGAGTTAGAGGTTCTGCTAGCTGGTCTGCACATCTTCTCAGCAATCTTGTCGGGGCCCACAGCCTTTTCTTGGTCAAGCGAATATTTATTCTGGCTAAATCTGGTTAAATATGTTTGAGTCAAATCTGGTTAAATATGTTTGAGTCTGTCTCTTCTGAATTGTTTCACTATTTAATGGGTGATGCATCTTACAGAGAGAACAATAATCATTAAATTTAATTTGTGTGCCGGAAAATTTGTCAGAATGGTGAATTAGTTTACAAAACTTGGAATCGTTGGAATCCATGAGATAACTGGAAAATGATTCTCTTGATCAGCTTCAAATTTTCAACCTTGATGTATTTTTTTCAATAAGCTAGGTTTATTTTGCTACTGATTTCCATAAGTCCAAATTTGTCATTTTTTTTTTTATAATTAGTGACATTAATTTCCATTTTAAAAATGTTAATCAAGACTGTAAACCTTAAGATTTATATCAATTTGTTGAGAATTGTCTTTCCATTAGGTCTTCAAATTTCCAGTATTGATGGGCTATATTAAAGTAATGTTTGGGTTTTCACTATGATCTATGTAAATTTTAAATTGCCAATTTTATTAAATTACTGGAGAATGCCTCTTCCGGTTGGCTGCAGACAAATAACTGCTGGAATATTTAACTGGAAGTATTTTTGTATCGAATATTGACTTTGTTGGTTCTAATTTGCCAATTTTATAGATTTTTATCAAACTCAGACTTTCTTCAGTACGCTTAAAACATTAATTGTTTTAAGCAAGAAAGCGGGGAAGAAAAAATCTGGAGCTTTAGATGAGGAATACTAAAAATACTAAGAAAATACTTTGTTACTTACAAGAAAGCTCATCCATGGCGATGAAGTCATTACGAGCTGTTGATGTCTGTGAGGACTCTTGCATGGCGATGAAGTCATGACCAACTGGTGTTGCCTGTTGGGAGTCAAACAATTATTGTTATTATCATCATCATTATCATACATGGGAAAGCACTAAACCCATAGGGGTCATACAGCACCTGGGGAAATGGGAGTGGTGTTCAACCACCACAGCAGGAGCTACAGTAGTGAGTGTTCAACTACCACAGCAGGAGCTACAGTAGTGAGTGTTCAACTACCACAGCAGGAGCTACAGTAGTGAGTGTTCAAACCACCACAGCAGAGCTACAGTAGTGAGTGTTCAACTACCACAGCAGAGTACAGTAATGAGTGTTCAACTACCACAGCAGGAGCTACAGTAGTGAGTGTTCAACCACCACAGCAGGAGTTACAGTAGTGAGTGTTCAACTACCACAGCAGGAGCTACAGTATGAGTGTTTTCAACACCACAGCAGGAGCTACAGTAGTGAGTGTTCAACTACCACAGCAGGAGCTACAGTAATGAGTGTTCAACTACCACAGCAGGAGCTACAGTAGTGAGTGTTCAACCACCACAGCAGGAGCTACAGTATTGAGTGTTCAACTACCACAGCAGGAGCTTACAGTATGAGTGTTCAACTACCAACAGTCAGGAGGCTACAGTAGTGAGTGTTCAACCACCACAGCATGAGCTACAGTATGAGTGTTTATCAACTTACCACAGCAGATCTACAGTAGTGAGGTTCAACTACCACAGCAGGACTACAGTAGTGAGTGTTCACCACCACAGCAGGAGCTACATAGTGAGTGTTCAACTACCACAGCAGGAGCTACAGTAGTGAGTGTTCAACCACCACAGCAGGAACTACAGTAGTGAGTGTTCAACCACCACAGCAGGAGCTACAGTAGTGAGTGTTCAACTACCACAGCAGGAGCTACAGTAGTGAGTGTTCAACCACCACAGCAGGAGCTACAGTAGTGAGTGTTCAACTACCACAGCAGGAGCTACAGTAGTGAGTGTTCAACCACCACAGCAGGAGCTACAGTAGTGAGTGTTCAACCACCACAGCGGAGTACGTGTGAGTGTTCAAACCCCACAGCAGGAGCTACAGTAGTGAGTGTTCAACTACCAAGCGAGCTACAGTAGTGAGTGTTCACTACCACAGCAAGGAGTACAGTAGTGAGTGTTTTAACCCCCACAAACAGGAGTTACAGTAGTGAGTGTTCAACGACCACAGCAAGAGCTACAGTAGTGAGTGTTCAACCACCACAGCAGGAGCTACAGTAGTGAGTGTTCAACCACCACAGCAAGAGTTACAGTAGTGAGTGTTCAACCACCACAACAGGAGTTACAGTAGTGAGTGTTCAACTACCACAGCAAGAGTTACAGTAGTGATTGTTCAACCACCACAACAGGAGTTACAGTAGTGAGTGTTCAACTACCACAGGAAGAGTTACAGTAGTGATTGTTCAACCACCACAGCAAGAGTTACAATAGTGAGTGTTCAACTACCACAGCAAGAGTTACAGTAATGAGTGTTCAACGTCACAGCAGGAGTTACAGAGTGAGTGGGTTTAACTACCACAGCAAGAGTACAGTGGTGAGTGTTCAACCACCACAGCAGGAGTTACAATAGTGAGTGTTCAACTACCACAGCAAGAGTTACAGTAATGAGTGTTCAACGACCACAGCAAGAGTTACAGTAGTGAGTGTTCAACTACAACAGCAGGAGTTACAGTAGTGCGTGTTCAACTACCACAGCAGGAGTTACAGTAGTGAGTGTTCAACTACCACAGCAGGAGTTACAGTAGTGAGTGTTCAACTACCACAGCAGGAGTTACAGTAGTGAGTGTTCAACTACCACAGCAGTAGTTCGTAGGGAGTGTTCAACTACCACAGCAGTAGTTACAGTAGTGAGTGTTCAACTACCACAGCAGGAGTTACAGTAATGAGTGTTCAACCACCACAGCAGTAGTTACAGTAGGGGCGTGTTCAACTACCACACAGGAGTTTACAGTAGTGAGTGTTCAACTACCACAGCAGGAGTTACAGTAGTGAGTGTTCAACTACCACAGCAGTAGTTACAGTAGTGAGTGTTCAACTACCACAGCAGGAGTTACAGTAGTGAGTGTTCAACTACCACAGCAATAGTTACAGTAGAGTGTTTTAACTACAACAGCAGGATTTACAGTATGGTGTTCAACTTCCACAGCAGAGTTACAGTAGTGAGTGGTTCAACTACCACAGCAAGGTTACAGTAGTGAGTGTTCAACTACCACAGCAAGGAGGTTACAGGTGCGTGTTCAACTACCCCAGCAAGGTTACGTAGTGAGGTTCAACTACCACAGCGTTAGTTACATTTGAGTGTTTCAACTCCACAGCAAGAGTTACAGTAGTGAGTGTTCAACTACCACAGCAAGTTACAGTAGTGAGTGTTCAATTACTACAGCAAGTTACAGTAGTGAGTCTTCAACTACCACAACAAGAGTTACAGTAGTGAGTGTTCAACTACCACAGCAAGAGTTACAGTAGTGAGTGTTCAACTACCACAGCAGAGTTACAGTAGTGAGTGTTCAATTACTAAAAGCAAGTTCAGTAGTGAGTGTTAAAAAACCACGCAAGGTTAAGTATGAGTGTTCAAAAACCACGCAAGGTTACGTGGGGATGTTAACCACCCAGCAGGAGTTACAGAGTGAGTGTTTTAAATACACAGCAAAGGAATTTACCCGGGTTTACCCGGA